GTGTGTGTGTGTGTGTGTGTGTGTGTGTGTGTGTGTGAGTGTGAGTGTGAGTGTGTGTGTGTGTGTGTTAGTCGGAGAACAGGCTGGCGAAGGACTGGCGGAGGCTGCGGATGGTTTCTGCTTTGGCCTCGTCGTCCGTCAGGTTTCCACGCAGCGTCTCGCTGAAGGTGTTGGTGAGCGACTGCGATTTACTGCAAGAGACAACGAACATTCATCAGACACAGATCATGAATCGCTGCAGTTTCTCATCCTTTACAGAGTAACTGAAACACGGAGAGAGAAGCAGGCTCTTACTTGAGCTGCGCGGGTTGTTTCTGGGATCCGGCTCCGCTGGAGGGAATGGGCCCGGGCTGGAAGGCCTGACTGGGAGAGGTGGTGGCAGATCGAGCGCGCTGAGGAGACGCCTGACCCGACTGAGACGGAGAACCAGAGCCTGAATGAGGACCACCTACACACACACACACACGCACGCACGCTAGTAACACACCTGATGAGCAGCTACTGTAGATGTAATGAGTCTCTTCAGCTCATCAAAGCTGCATTTATTTGATCAAAAATACTGTAAAAAATTTGAAATATTATTATAATTTAAAAAATATGTTTTTATGATTTCTGAAGATCATGTGACACTGAAGACTGGAGTAATGATGCTGAAAATACAGCTGCGCATCACAGAAATACATTACAGTTTAACAGAGATTCACAGAGAAAACTGTTTTACATTCTAATAATATTTCACAGTTTTACAGTATTTTTTATTTAAAAAACGCAGCTCTAGTGATCAGAGGAGACTTCTTTCCATGCTTCTGACCGCTGGCGTGTGCCGATTGAGTGTGTTGTTCACCTGGAGCTCGTCTCGGTTGAGTCGTCTGCGGTCCAGGTTGAGTCTACACACACACACACACACACACGTGTTAAACTCCACAGACTGATGCTCAGGTTGAGTGTAAATGAGCACATGACCGTGGTACCTTCGTGGATGTTTGTGGTGTGGTCACTCCCAGCAGAGCGAAGGCCATCTTACTGATGACCAGATCACAGATCAGCTGCCGGTCCTCCTCCACATGCTCTCCGATCAGAGGCATCGAGCTGTCCATCACCTGACCAAACACACACAGGTTTGTTTTTGTGAAAAGTGGGGACTCTCCATAGGCGTAATGGTTTTTATACTGTACAGACCGTATATTCTATTGCCCTACACCAACCCTACCCCTAAACCTACCCCTCACAGGAGACTTTCTGCTATTTCAGATTTTCAATACACTCCATTCTGTGTGATTTATAAGCGTTTTGAATTACGGGGAGACTGAAAATGTCCTCATAAATCACCTTCTCGTTGTAATACCTATGTCATACCCATGTCATTATACAAATGTGTCCTCATAAACCACATAAACATGCACACACACACACTCATTCACTCACACTCACTCACTCACATATACACTCACACACACACACACACACAAACACAC